CCCCCCACCCCCCCCCCCCCCCCCCATTGGTCAAGGTGCCAAGCCTGTAACATCAGACCCTAAAGCTGCAGGGCATGATTAGCTTTGGAGTCTGATAATGACAGGTGTCATCATTAGGCTGGGTTCACACCTAAGCGTATTGAACATGCACGTTTGTCACACAGCGCGTTACCGCGATTCACTGTAAAAACCGTGCGACAAATGCAGGTTTCCGAGGGCTACCTGTCTGTATCCCAATGGATACGAGTGGCAAATACGCCCCAAAGAAGCTCCTGTAGTTTGGGCGTAGGGCGTTTTGCAGCGTGTTCCTACGCACTGTAAAACGCCCAGGTGGGAATCATGCCCATAGGCAATCATTGGCTTTCACATGCTGAGGGTTTTACAGAGCGTAGGAACCCGCTGTAAAATGCCCAGGTGTGAACCGGGCCTTAGACTTTACTCCTAGGCAGACACTGGCTTTGCGACTACAAGGCCTGCAGAGATCACCCGACTGACTTGAGGCACAGAGGGGCAAACATTAAAGCCAGCACAATATTCAGAAGGGAAGCCAATTTTGGACACCCTGAAGTTGGGATCAGAGTGACTGCACAGTGCAAATTTTCAGACAGCATAGAACAGATTGACCCCTTGAAGTGTACTTACAGAAGCCTTGTCAATTGTTGTGAACACACCGGTAGATTCCACCACATAGTCGGCACCAGAACCTCCCCATTTGATGGCGCTGGGATCCCGTCTAGAAGGAAAACAAATCTGAGAAACTGCAGAGCAGAGATTTGGGAGGAAACTTGAACAGACCATATAAAAGGGTTCAACTGCCTGCTGAAAATGGCCATCTGGTGCTTTCAAGAGTCCCTGACCCAGAATATCAGCCAGCACAGAACCTGCCTACTTGTTCTGGCATGCCACTGGCATTTGTTTGATGGGGAGGTACACCAGGACAGGCCCAACATGTTTTACCAGAGATTTATCTTTAAAGCTGGAAATATTTCCCTGCCATAGAATTAGTATTAATACACCTAGTCCTGAGATTTATTTAGCTCTGCCAAACTGTACAGCCCCAATGTCTCTGCTGCAACTAACATGTTAAGGTCTCATCTCCCCACCACCCATCCCAGTGACCAACTACCTCTGCTCCCTCCCCATCTGCATGGCCAGAAGATTGAAAGCCAAGCTACCATTTACTGAATGACTCAAGCATTACTAGTTCTGGGCTTGTGTTTTGCTTTAGAGTTTTACATTTTGTGTGATACCACTTGCAGCCAGGAGGTGGAGCTGGAAGGCACTTTCTACAGTGGACCAGTCCTGAATAGGATTATAGACTGCAGAGTAATTTTGAAGGACACTGTCCTCCCTCTAACCAAGAACAGTTTGCCATCTCTTGCAGTGCTGGCCTCTTATTAGAAAGATCAGCATGTCTTACAAATGCTCATGTGTACAGCAAAGGTTTATATGGTACATCAGCAGAGCTCTTCGGCTCACAAGACTCAAGTTATGTGGATGCAGATGCGGATTTGGATTTCCCTGCAAGCTACAACACCTTGCCCTCTGCTATAGATTGCCGTCACCCCAGGACAAGAGTACATACTGGAAAGGATCACCAGTGAGGAAAAGGCCTAAAAAAACCTGCAGCCACCATATCCAAGGACAGGTAAGCTGGGATTACTTTGTTCTTGGGTTTAGATAAACCCCCAAGACCAGCTGCACCCAGATCAGTCCAATTTTATTAAGCCATATCAACTTACTCCTGAGACACGGTGATGGCTTTGCCATTGATGACCAGCTTGCCACCCTCGGCCTTCACATCCCCCTTGAAGCGTCCATGAGTGGAGTCATACTTGAACATGTAAACCTAAGAAAGAAAGGCAACTCTGGTTGAATCAATCTTGTAGCCCTTTAGGCTGTAACCAGCAATACAACCCAAACTTCAGTCACCACCTACAGCATGAAGTTTAAACCATAGACAACTAAATGAATGGGCCCACCAAATAGGTTATCTAAGTGATATTGAGGACCCATAAAATGTATTACATGCTTGCCTCTGGCTGCCTGATCTGCCGAGCTACGATAAGTCTCCAGCACCCAACAGCCCCAAGAGTGTCACATGCCTTGCACTGTGTGGTCTCATTTGATGAACTGTAGTGGCCACCTGTGTGAACCACAGTACTCAGTTGGGGGACCATGTATTGAGCAAAACTGACTTGATGACTATGGAAGCTAATCAATGTCACTCCATAGACAATATCAAAAAGTTCACTTACCATGTAGTCCACGTCAATGAAGGGGTCATTGATGTGAACAACTGAGAGCTTTCCAGACTCAAAAGCAGCACGGGTCACCAGACGCCCGATACGGCCAAATCTAAAAATAAAAAGCAGGCATGAGAAAACAAATCTTGCAACATGGATGGAAGTACATGACAACACACTGGGTTTAATTACCAAATGAGTAAAGGCTGCACATTTAGGAAAGCCGAGTGTTCACCAAGCTTAGGAGATAAGGCCCCCTCTAACCTAGCTCCCAGAACCCTCCAACCCTATAGGAGATACTTCAAGGGAGAGACCCATCAGGACCTTTGGGCAGACTTTCCTACAAGAGACAATGCTTGATAGGAGTGTTCCCAGTAACCATGGCAGGTTTCAGTAGTGGCATTTGAATGGGAGACCCAACAAAAGACTGCTGGGACCTTTAAAGACAGCTGGCCTCACTTCAAACATTGGAATGGAAACCGTCACATGTGGGAAAGGTCATCTTCAATAAAGGCCACCCATAATTTTACCAAGCCTGGACAGTGGAGATCCCAACAACATGGCACAGATAGAGTGGTCACCCCATTTCAGGAAGCTGACCAAGTCAAGTGTGTTGGGTCTACACTGATCTGCGTTCCCTGTGACAGTTGGGATAATCCTGTACCAACTTAAAATACAACATTTCTTGCACAACTGGAGGATTGACATGAACCCAACATGTCCTTAACAGCCGTATTCCTTGGCCACTGTATGGTCTCTAATGGAACACTAAAGTAGCATGGTGCTGGTTTGTGTAGCTTCTCTCGCTGCTACAACTAATCAGCCCCATGAAGGCATGCAAGATAGCATTCAACATTTTCAATACATCTGGACCAATTGAGCACGTTCATAATAACCAGAAGCCAAGAAGCCCTGCTGTTCACACATGCAGACTGCCTAGTATTAAATGCGTGATGGGACAGGATGTTCTAAACACCTACTCTGTTGGAAATTCTGCATTTGGTTAGGAAAAAACCCACCATCTGTTCTAACTGTGGAATTAATCTGAAGTCATGTAAAAGGCAGCTTCTGAATCACGTATGCCAGGCCAAGCCTCCATGTTGATACCCATGAGGAGGGTTGCCAGCTTCTGCATGATATGCTCTAGGCCAAGCATACATGTTATGACAGCTCCTGCTTGCTCTGGAGGCATAGATACTGCAGGCGCAATTTCTCTTTGGGGGGGGGGGGGGGGGCAGAAGGAGGAGAAAGAGAGAGAGAGGG